CATTTCTTTCAGTAAAATAGACTTTCATATGTGTCTGTCACTGATTTAAAAGTAAAGTCGGCAAATAGGGTGTTTGTTTTAAATTTCCTTTAATATCTTTAAAACGCAATTGATTTAAATTGTGTAAGTTACAGGAAAGTCCTATCTTTTTTTAAGAAATAAAACAAATAGAAAAATCTTTATAATTTTAGTTTGCCTGAATTAAAAAAAAATAATACGCTATACATCACCTTTTAAAATAATTAATAATAGCTTTGGAGAAGTAGAGAGTGTCAACCCTCATTGTTAGTATAGCTGCAGAACTGTAGCGCTAAGGTTTTAGTCTTGACTATCATGCTACAGATCCTGTAATGCAAAAAATGTGCAATTTACAGCGCAATATTTTTTGCGCACTGTTTGGAAGAATTTCTTCACTTTCCAACTTTAGTAAATCATCTACCTTTCACCCCTATTTTCAGACACATTCGTAACTTTATCCTCCTCTCAACCCTTTATAGTCACCTCTACAGACGCTAAAGTGGCTTGGTTTGAATTGTCTGAGGGATTGCAGAAAATTCCTAATCAAGCAAGTTTATCGCTTGTAGAGACGACTACATAGTGTTGGGAGGTGTATAAAATATACAGATTTATTAAAAAATTTGTTTAGAAATATGAAAGGAAAGGTAGATGATTTACCAATGTTGAAAATTGGATAAATTCTCCCAAACAGTGCGCAAAAAATCTTGCGCCGTAAATCGTCTCTAAAAATGATAAACTCACATTATAGGATCTGTAGCGTTATGGTCAAGACTAATATGTAAAACCATAATTACGCTACAGTTCTGCAGCTATCATTATTACTGATAAAAACTGAAAGATTTTCAAGTGGTATTAGCATAGGCGTTTTCAGTGGATCAAGGGGTGGGTGTTTTCCGGACCCCCATCCTCCAGGGCTGGAATTTTAAGTGATATTAAATCACGATCAAATGACCATGGAACCATAAGGAACAAAGACTACTGTAAAAAAAAAGTGATTAGAAAATTTAGTAAACACCCCCTCCTTAAATATTTTTTTGTACCAATAGGAGCTTTTTTTTAAGTTTTCTGTATAAGTACATATTGCAAGCAATACTAGTAATTGTCTAGCGAAATGTCTTGAACAGGGATAGAAACTTGAAGCTTTTATACAATGTAATTCCCTTGAATCTTGAGTTTTTCTGGATTAATCGAGTTTTTGAAATACATGTATAGTGTTTCAACTTTCAAAAGCAGAAACGAATTATATCACAAATAAAAACTATATACTAGTAAATCTTATATTTCAGTTATAAATTATTTCATTTATTTGAGCAGAACAAAATATCAACTTGATCTATCTTTAACACAGCTAAATAGATCTCGATTTCCATGTCAAAAAGGAGCTTATACCTTTAATAATTTAAGGGGTGGGGTAGAAAACTGGCTCTCATTAGATATTAAAAATTAAGAAAATAACTCTCAAAATGAAAGAAAAAGTGTGCAAGCTCACATACCCCACGCCCCCCCCCCCCCCAACTCGAAGTGCTGAAATTGCCGGGAAAAATAAAGGAATCCCAGTTTCCTGGTAATATGCACATCTATACATTGTGTCCTAAATATCTGCAAAGTTTGACGAAATTCTGTGCAACGGTTTATGAGAAGTTGCGCTGACAATCTGTTCATTTCTATATTCAAGGTATGGCTAAAAATCTAAGTTGAAAAGTGCGGAAATTCCAAGGAAAATAAAGGAATCGGTTCCTGGTAATATGCACATCTACACACTGTGTACTAAATATCTGCGAAGTTTGACGAAATTCTGTGCAGCAGTTTAAGAGGAGTTGCGCTGACAAACTGTTCATCTCTATATTCAACGTATGGCCAAAATTCTACGTTGAAAAGTGCCGAAATTCCCAGAAAAATTATGGAATCGGAATTTCCTGGTAATATGCACATCTACACATTGTGTCCTAATATATATGCTACGTTTAACGAAATTCTGTGCGGCGGTTTAAAAGAAGTTGCGCTGACAAACTGTTCATCTATATATTCAAGGTACGGCCAAAAATCTAGGTGTATAAAAGTGCGGAAATTCCCGTAAAAAAAGGAATCTGAATTTCCTGGTAATAAGCACATCTACACATTATGTCCTAAATATCTGCAAAGTTTGACGAAATTCTGTGCAGCGGTTTAAGAGGAGTTGCGCTGACAAACTGTTCATCTCTATATTCAAGATATGGCCAAAAATCTAAGTGTAAAAGTGCGGAAATTCCCAAAAAAATAAAGGAATCAGAATTTCCTGGTAATATGCACATCTACACATTGTGTCCTAAATATCTGCAAAGTTTGACGAAATTCTGTGCAGCGGTTTATGAGAAGTTGCGCTAACAAAAAAACAGGACTGACGGACTGACTGACTGACGGGTCAAAAACATTATACCTCCCGCAACTTGTTGCATGGGGTATAATCACTGTATTTAAAGTGGAACAAAATGCAAACTTGATATGTAACTCATCAAGGTACAATCACATACCAAAAGCAGCTCAATGTCTGTAAGGCTTTAAAAAACTTAAAAAACCAAGTGGGAAAGACAGGTGAACAGACAAGAAGAAGCTAAAGTCCCATCTGATTTTAATACTTGGAAGACTGATATATTATGTGGTGATAGAATTTCTGAAGAGTAAAAGACCTTCGTTTTCTGTTGCTTTTTTTTTGGGGGGGGGGGGGGGGGCTTAAAGGCACCTGCCTCTGTCTTGATGTAGAGCTTAGCTATAATTATAGCTATGAACTTTTGGGATGTCCTGATAAATTAGTAATGGTAAGCATGTTTGTGATAGTGGCCACAGGGCCTAAACGCCGTTAAGGCCTCGTGGCCCCTTTTACAAAACGGATACCTGAGTATATGGACACAGTCAGGGTTTGTCATCATCATAGGCAATCGATGTGGTGTACTGACTACTGGACAGAACAGTCAAGGTTCCGTAGAGGCATAATATAAACAAAACTAACTTATATAAAGATGTGCTGTCGACACCTAAGAGAAATAGGATGATCAGGACACTGAACAGAAAAGCTAATGATCTCTTCAGTAACAAATCAAGAGGTTGATCTTTTTTTTTTTTTTTTTTTACATGCCAGTGCTAATTAATCAATATACACCTGCCCATTTGTTACTATCAACATGAAGAATATGTCTCCCTAGCAATTAAAGACTGTGTACTTTTTGCACTATGCTTTGAAAATTCTGGCAATGTATACTATGATTATTTTATTCAAATAATTTATGATTTCAGGTAACATAGGTGGTCATAGCAAAGGGAAATAAGTCAAATAACCTCAGTTTTCTAGCACAAAATAATTCTGCCAGCTCCAAAACACTTGTCAAACCACCCACTTGTAAAGCAGGAGGGTATATAGTGATCGGGATGTCCATCCATGTCTGTCCATCCCTCTGTCTGTACGTCCGTCTGTTAGTCTTTAGGGTACCCATCCTTATCCGCAACTCCTCTTATACCTACGAATGAATTCAAATGAAACTTTTACAGAATCTTTGTTTCATAGTTCTTTGTTTCAAAATGAATTTCGATCTGCAATTTCAATCCCATGTTTTCCCCACGTCCGCGTCATATTGTACCCGCCCATTTCATTGTCTATCACTGAATGTTTTGATTGTAACAGATAGAAATGAAGTAAGCTGTATATTTCCAATTTTGCCAGTTAATGTTCCGCAGTCTGAGAGTATTCAGACACACCTAGAAAAACACGTAATACACAAAATACACCATCCTGAAACCAAGCGCCTATGATTTTAACAGATCCAAGAACTTATTTAAAACCTGAACTACTACTGACTCTCTGTAATGCACACTTGGCAAAATAATTAGAGAGAGAGAGAGCATGGTGTATTTTTGTATAAAATTGTATATACTGTACATCATTAATGAAGAAAGGAATAGGGTAACCTCCTTCGGGATGTTCAGTATCTTAGGGGCAGTGTTTCACAAACACATCTTGTTTTCCTTAAATTCAAATATAAAACTATTTACGTTCGCAAAAAGTGGATAGAAGGGCGCAGTACATCACCCCCCCCCCCCCCCCCCCCGCAGTACCTCACCAAACATTAATTGTTGTTATCTTGTGAGTGGAAGTCCTGCCAGTAAAGGTAAAAAAATGAAAAATGAAAGATGTCTTTGTGATGCCTCCGTATGACAGCATATGGCGAGGGTTGAAATTTCTAAATGTCAAGGTCCAAAGGTCAAAATTGTAGGTATATATCTAAAGGAAGTCCTCTCACATGAAATACACCTGCGAATATGAAAAACCTAGTTCTAACGGTTCAAAGTTCATGGTCAACGTTATTTTTTTTTCAAGTGGGTCAAACTCTCAGGTCAAGGTAAAAAGGTCAAAATTGTTGGTAGCCATAGGAAGGTCTTGTCACAAGGAACACACCTGTGAAAATATGAAACCTTAGTACTAGCGGTTCAAAAGTTATGATCATGATTGAAGTTTTTTTTTTAAGTGGATCAATCTTTAAGGTCAAGGTGAAAAGGTCAAAATACTTAAACCCACTGAATCGTCTTGTCATAATGAATGCATATGTGAAGTATGAAACCCCTAGCACCAACTTTTCTAAAGTTAATGCTATGGCTAATGTTAGTAACTTTTGGTTAAAGTGAGTCAAAGTCAAGGTCACAAGGTTAAAATTTTGTAGTACCAAAAGAAAGGTCTTGTTACAAGGAATACACCAGCCAAAGCATCACCCACTCAAAAGTTTTGGACAAGGTTAAAGTTTCTTTGAACAAATATACAAACAGATAAACAAACATACAGACGAACGAACAGAACAAACTACTGTATAGTCCCGAATCTTCGATAACGGGGGACATAGAAAAAACTTAAATCCGCGCCGTCCGCAACTCGATGTTTTCTAGGTTATTTTTAGTTAGATTATTTATATCTACCAATCAAATATTAGGTGTAATGTATATTTATAAGTTATATCGATGGGGAAAACCAAAGTATTTTACAGCGTTGTTGTTGACTGCAAGATAGGTAAGACGTGTGGTATAAATTTTCATTCTTTTTATAATGTTAATGAATGATAGATTTTTAAAGTGATTATAGATAAGCACTGCATGATTTAAGCACCCTTCAGTATATATCCTGGTTATAGATATATATGTCATGTCTACATCAATCTTGTTGTAGGGCCAAAGTTAGCTATAAATCGATCAATAGTAAATGAGTAATGTTTTTTTTTTATTGTGCAAGTTGTTAAACACATTAGTTTAAAGGTATTTGATATTAAATATGAACATTAAACCAGCTAACCATCCAGGCAAAAATATTTACATAGTATTATGTGTGTGTGTGTGTGTATATATATATATATATATATATATATATATATATATATATATATATATATATATATATATATATATATATATATATATATATATAAAAAGCACTAAAAAACCAACAACACTGTATATCCTAAATGTCGGATCTATCAAGTAGATACAAGGTCACGGATGGAAATTTATATAAAGCACTAAAAATGACCAACGACACGAACAATAAAAATTGTCAAATTTTCGGGACGCCCTGTCCCTTCCTCAGGACAAAGAAAAAAGTTAAAAAGTCATAAGAACAAAGGAAAAATAGAAACAAAAACAACTAGCACTACTACTAAGCTACTAAACACTAGATATTTACATACTTAATAAATTACATGTTGAATTCGAAATTTTTAAGAACAACAATAAAGAAAGAAATCCGGACCGCTATGAAATGCGTCCAGTCTATCGGGTATACTCGGGTGAAGTGCGATTTACATAATTGAACGAATTAATTATGCTAATTAATTACGACAATCAGTAAATCGTACATTGTTTCATTCTCTCAAAATGGCGTAACTATACTTAATAAAGAATAATCAAAGAAAAATAAGATGGCAGGGATATTTAAACATATGAATTATGATCCATTATAAATTTTGAAATATTTAAAGACTTAATACCGGGAAAAAATAATTAACAAAGGCGAAAGCAATACATAGCTATGTGGGTTGTTCGAGAGTTGGTGACGCAAATTGACTGTAGAGTGTACACTAAATTGAGAGAATAATCTTGTTTAGTATCGTCAGGAATTGGGTCTAGTTTACGTTCATTCTGGTGAAGTCATTTAGTTTGTTAATACCATTAGGGCGGAATGACTTCAATCTGTGCATCCAGAACTTTTCTTTGCTTTTTCTCTGAGCATCTGTCCATCTTGGGTTATGGTCAATCACCACTACTGTCATATCCTCCCATTTGTGACCCTCAAGGTTGAAATGTTCCCCAACGGGTTCATTGAGTTTTTTGGTCCTAATGGTCGAACGGTGGTTATTGACTCTCCTGCGGAGATCTCCTGTTTCACCAATATACTGTTTGGAGCAAACTTTGCAACTGATGAGATAAATGCAGTTGTCAGTATGACAGGACAAATTCCCTAGTATTTTGTAGCTGCGGCCTGTAACGGGGCTGTTAAAACTGTCTGTGTCAGTACTGTGCTTACAAAGAAGACATCTTCTGTCAGAGCAAGTTTTAAAGCCCCCGTTAGGTAATGGGTTGTCCAGTCTGGTTCTTACTACCATGTCCTTCAGGTTCCTTGGGCGTCTGTATGCAGCCAATGGGGGTTCCTTAAAGACCTCTGCCATTCGTTTGTTTGAATGGAGAATTGGTAGGTTCTTTTGAAGGATACCGCTAAGGTTCTTAAGGACGGGATGGTATGTGGTTACCAGAGGGACCCTACCGCTATTGTCTTTCTCCTTGTAGCGTAATAGGTTTTGCCTGTCATGTCCTGCCATCTCATCAATAGCTGTTTGTACGGTGCGGGCATTGTAGCCTCTTTTGCATAAGTGGGACTTAAGAAGACCACTTTGCTCCTGATATAAGGCAGGGGACGAACAGATGCGTCGAATTCTGGTGGCTAGACCCTTAGGCACTCCCTTAAAAGTGTGTGGGGGATGACAGCTAGAGGGCATAAGATATAGGTGGGAGTCTGTGGGTTTGGTGTGGAGACTGAATTCGATTTCACCATCAATCAGGGTAGATGTAGTATCTAGGAATACGTTTTTCGAATTAGATACGTCTACTGTAAATTTGATCGACTGATGAAAGGTGTTGGCAAACGTAATGAATGCCTCGAGGCTCTCGCGACATTCCACCCACTTCATCTCTATATCGTCAATGAAACGCAACCAGCTATGGGGCCTAAAAGGTGCTTGAAGTAACAAGTTGCGTTCCAGTCTGCCCATGAAGACATTGGCATAAGACGGTGCCATTTTCGTACCCATAGCAGTGCCATTAACAATATTCCACACGATGAGGGTATCGAAGCCTGTAGAGAAGTCTGGGATAGTAGATCCATACAAATTCCTTCTACAGAGTCCCTTGCTAAGCTCCTTGAACATGTTCTCAAGTTCAACAACTTCATGTTTAATGGAGAACATTACCTGCAGGTTAATGGCACTGCTATGGGTACGAAAATGGCACCGTCTTATGCCAATGTCTTCATGGGCAGACTGGAACGCAACTTGTTACTTCAAGCACCTTTTAGGCCCCATAGCTGGTTGCGTTTCATTGACGATATAGAGATGAAGTGGGTGGAATGTCGCGAGAGCCTCGAGGCATTCATTACGTTTGCCAACACCTTTCATCAGTCGATCAAATTTACAGTAGACATATCTAATTCGAAAAACGTATTCCTAGATACTACATCTACCCTGATTGATGGTGAAATCGAATTCAGTCTCCACACCAAACCCACAGACTCCCACCTATATCTTATGCCCTCTAGCTGTCATCCCCCACACACTTTTAAGGGAGTGCCTAAGGGTCTAGCCACCAGAATTCGACGCATCTGTTCGTCCCCTGCCTTATATCAGGAGCAAAGTGGTCTTCTTAAGTCCCACTTATGCAAAAGAGGCTACAATGCCCGCACCGTACAAACAGCTATTGATGAGATGGCAGGACATGACAGGCAAAACCTATTACGCTACAAGGAGAAAGACAATAGCGGTAGGGTCCCTCTGGTAACCACATACCATCCCGTCCTTAAGAACCTTAGCGGTATCCTTCAAAAGAACCTACCAATTCTCCATTCAAACAAACGAATGGCAGAGGTCTTTAAGGAACCCCCATTGGCTGCATACAGACGCCCAAGGAACCTGAAGGACATGGTAGTAAGAACCAGACTGGACAACCCATTACCTAACGGGGGCTTTAAAACTTGCTCTGACAGAAGATGTCTTCTTTGTAAGCACAGTACTGACACAGACAGTTTTAACAGCCCCGTTACAGGCCGCAGCTACAAAATACTAGGGAATTTGTCCTGTCATACTGACAACTGCATTTATCTCATCAGTTGCAAAGTTTGCTCCAAACAGTATATTGGTGAAACAGGAGATCTCCGCAGGAGAGTCAATAACCACCGTTCGACCATTAGGACCAAAAAACTCAATGAACCCGTTGGGGAACATTTCAACCTTGAGGGTCACAAATGGGAGGATATGACAGTAGTGGTGATTGACCATAACCCAAGATGGACAGATGCTCAGAGAAAAAGCAAAGAAAAGTTCTGGATGCACAGATTGAAGTCATTCCGCCCTAATGGTATTAACAAACTAAATGACTTCACCAGAATGAACGTAAACTAGACCCAATTCCTGACGATACTAAACAAGATTATTCTCTCAATTTAGTGTACACTCTACAGTCAATTTGCGTCACCAACTCTCGAACAACCCACATAGCTATGTATTGCTTTCGCCTTTGTTAATTATTTTTTCCCGGTATTAAGTCTTTAAATATTTCAAAATTTATAATGGATCATAATTCATATGTTTAAATATCCCTGCCATCTTATTTTTCTTTGATTATTCTTTATTAAGTAAAGTTACGCCATTTTGAGAGAATGAAACAATGTACGATTTACTGATTGTCGTAATTAATTAGCATAATTAATTCGTTCAATTATGTAAATCGCACTTCACCCGAGTATACCCGATAGACCGGACGCATTTCATAGCGGTCCGGATTTCTTTCTTTATTGTTGTTCTTAAAAATTTCGAATTCAACATGTAATTTATTAAGTATGTAAATATCTAGTGTTTAGTAGCTTAGTAGTAGTGCTAGTTGTTTTTGTTTCTATTTTTCCTTTGTTCTTATGACTTTTTAACTTTTTTCTTTGTCCTGAGGAAGGGACAGGGCGTCCCGAAAATTTGACAATTTTTATTGTTCGTGTCGTTGGTCATTTTTAGTGCTTTATATATATATATATATATATATATATATATATATATATATATATATATATATATATATATATATATATATATAAAATTATTCTTTCTATTAATTCATATATAATCCTGTAAAGTTACATGTTTAAAAATCCTTTATTTCCTATCCAGAAATAAATCAGGAAATAGGACACAGATCATTGAGGTTAATCAGTAACTATAGAACTATTTACAAGCTAGCTGTGATAAATTTATTGAAGAAAAAAAAACAGATCAACAATTAAATTTTAACACTCCGTGAGATTAAGGCCTCAAACAGTATATATATATATTAGATATTTTATGTTAAACTAATTCATACTGCTTTTTTCAGAGATATGTTAATTACATGGTTTTATATCTTCAAGTTTCAATTCAAGATACAGATTGTCCTTCACTGAATATAGATTGATCTGTATAGATCTACAATAGCTAGGCTCCTCAAGTGTTGGTCTCCTGAGTTGTGTACATATGCATTTAAAGAAGGGCCTAGATATTTAATTTTTTGTGGCAATTAGCCAAGATATTCCATTTCCTCGATCCAAAAGAGAAACAGTCCTGTGTGGTAAAGGGAAACTAGAATTTTTATTTTTACTCCCTCATTGACAATAACTTTAGCATGTAAATAGCTAGATTTTGATGCTGAATACCAGTTGTTTTCATTTATTTTTTTTGTAATTTTATATATATTTCCCCTTTTATTAAGAATATATAATGTTATTGATACTAGAACTTATTCAGTTTGAATCAACATGTTTTGAAATAAAAAGTACCTTGTGTATATTTAGGATAATGGATTTTGGGGGAAGTCTTGTGTACGTGGGTCTGACAGACGAGCAGGAAGACATACCTGAGGAAGATGATCTGGAGGAGAAGGAAGAAGAAATTGATCCCCAGAATGCAGATGAAGAGGTTTGTACATCACTGTATACCACCGAACCATTAAGGTCATTCCTTTCACCTTAACTTAGAGATCAAGTGTATAATGACTTGTGGGACTCTTAGGAAGGGAAAAACATCAGGAATCGATTTACTCTGGTATTCATGACTATTCACTTATAAAAAAATAATCTCATGGGGAGGGGGAATGGGCTGGTAAGGATGGTATGTATATATATGAGCATTCTTTAAGTTGGATCTCATGCTTTCAATGAATTGATTATAAAGTTAACAAATATTGTTTGGAGATCATGCCAAGACTCTCGGATCTTATGCTTTATTATGATTCTCTTCTTTGCTTACAGACATGTTGCTTGGATATTCTGGACACAGCAGGGCAAGAAGAGTATTCCTCTGTACGAGACATGTACATGAGTTCGGGGGACGGCTTTATGATTATCTACAGCATTACTAGCAGATCGTCATTCAACGAGGCCTCAGCCATTTATCACCTTACTCAGAAAATTAAAGGCATGGATCATGTACCTTCGGTAGGTTGAAAAATAACAGACAATGGGTATTTAGACCTAAGTTATTAATAGGTTAAGATATATTTCATGCCCCCACCATGAAATGGTTGGATTTTATTATCCATTCTCTTTCCTGGACAATGGGGCAAAGTTCTATTTTTTTCTGCAGCTGGCTTATAGTTTAATATCTTAACATTTTAGTAAGCATATGGTGGCAAAATATGACACTAGTCCATAGAAATGTTGATACTTGCATCTGAAGTGAAAAAAAAAAAAAATATTAAACCAGTAATAATACTTATAGAATCTTTAGCAAGCGAGTCTATTATAGTTATGTTTATGGTTATATAATTATGCATATATGTAGAAAAAACAAGCATTCTGAGAGTTATATTGCATAAGCAATACATGTCCCCTGCCATGTTCCCCTTTTCTCTTTAGGATACAAGCTTGTTCAGAACATTGATTTAGTGCATCATGAACCAGATCATAATCCAAATTATAAAAAATTTAAAATGCGATAAATCCATCAAAAATCATTGAAGCAAAACAACATTGAAATTTGATCTGTATCTCATCAAGGTTCACTTTCATACCAAAATTCAGCTCAATATCTGCAAGGGCTTAGAAAAAGAGTGTGGAAAACCAAGGGGGACAGACTAGCTGACAGACAGCTAGACAGACAGACTCAGAGGTAACTTATAGTCCCCTCCGGTTTCACCAGTAGGGGACTAAATATCAAAAGGAGCATTTCATTAAACTTAAGATTCGATTTTGTAGATTCTTTGTGGGAATAAAAGTGATCTAGAGCAAGAGAGAGAGGTATCATTTGAGGAGGGGAAGAAGCTGGCAGAATCCCTTGGCATTCCTTTTTTAGAAACCTCTGCAAAAACAGGAAGCCTAGTAAAGGAAGCATTTGAAAATCTGGTTTTAGAAATTCCTGAACACAAAGCTACACACAAAGTAAGTGAAGATAACTCAAATAAAATAAGATAATTTAAATAAATAAAAGTTGAACAGATTCTTTCTGAGAGTTATTTTTTAAAATAACAAAGCAGTTTTGTTGATGATATTACCCAAATGCCAAATAAGGGATCTTTTTTCACATCTCAAAAGCTTTTACAAATGTTTAACGTGTATCATCATGCAACTTCAAAAGTATGTGATTGTTCTTTCTGATTTAGAGAATGATGACTTTAGTTGTTTCTGTTTATCCTAGATCGTCATGCTTGGGTCTGGAGCTGTTGGAAAATCGTCACTGACAATTAGATATGTATCGGACCAATTTGTTGAGAATTATGATCCAACCATTGAAGATTCTTATCGTAAAATGGTCAAAGTGAAGGGAAGACGAAGAAAAGCAGAGCAAGGTATTTCATTTATAGATAAACACATGTAATACACATAGGTATCTAGTATATATTAAATTTTTGCTAGGAATTTGATATTTCTCCAATTTACATTATTTGCAATTTGATAGGTTAAACTAAATTTCAATTATTATATCTCTCTCTTTTCCGTCTCAGACTCGGTTATTGCAAATTGAGTAAACTTTTTAGCTCACCTCAACGAAGTTGGGGGAGCTTATGTAATACCCTCGGCGTCGGCGTCGGTGTCGGCGTCCACGTCGGCGTCGGCGTCCCAGGTTAAGGTTAAGTTTTTTGGAGCAGTTTTCTTTTTAAGTACTTCTGTGTCCTATATTGATTAGACATGCATGGAAGATGGTTCTAGTGTGTTTCATTGTACCAGTCAAAGTTTCAGATGCTGCAATTTCAGCAAAGGAATGACCAGGTTAATGTTTTTGTAGCAGGTTAACATTTTTGGTGCAGTTTTTTGTGTAGGTTTCATTTCCATTTAACTATAAGCCCTATGTTGACCAAACTTGCATGGATGATACATCTAAGGATGGATACTACCGGGCTTGCTTCGGATGCTGAATCTGACCTACATTTTCCGGTTGAGTGAACAGGTTAAAGTTTTTGATGCATGTTTCATTTCCAAGTAACTATAAGCCCTATGTTGACCAAACTTGCATGGATGATACATCTAAGGATGGATACAACTGGGTTTTGCTTCGGATGCTGAATCTGACCTACATTTTCCGGTTGAGTGAACAGGTTAAAGTTTTTAGTGCAGGTTTCATTTCCAAGTAACTATAAGCCCTATGTTGACCAAACTTAAATGGATGATACATCTAAGGATGGATACTACCGGGTTTGCTTCAGATGCTGAATCTGACCTACATTTTCCGGTTGAGTGAACAGGTTAAAGTTTTTGGTGCAGGTTTCATTTCCAAGTAACTATGTGCCTTATGTTGACCAAACTTGCATGGATGATACATCTAAGGATGGATACAACCGGGTTTTGCTTCGGATGCTGAATCTGACCTACATTTTCCGGTTGAGTGAACAGGTTAAAGTTTTTAGTGCAGGTTTCATTTCCAAGTAACTATAAGCCCTATGTTGACCAAACTTGCATGGATTATACATCTAAGGATGCACACTACCTGGCTTGCTTAGGATGCTGAATCTTACCTACTTTTTCCGGTTGAGTGAACAGGTTAAAGTTTTCATCAAGAGATGAAAATTCTCAAATTTGCTTCAGATGCTGGATTTTGATTACATTTTCATGAAGAAGAACTAGTTTAAATTTTTATGTAGGTCTATTTAAAAGTATCAGATCAAAATTGCTTGAATATTTTCAATTTTGGAATGTACACTTTTTGTTGGTTAATTGTGTGACTTTGCCTTACTTAAAGACAACATTCGTTGAGGTGAGCTCTGTAATCTCTGATTACCTATGTTTTCTTTTGTGTTTGGAAATAATAACCAAGTACACTGCAGCTTAAATGAATGAAAAATTCATGAATTCCAATAAACTAGCTCTTTGTGCTGATTTTCATATTTTCTCCAAAAAAAAAAAAAAAACAAACAACAACATGTAAATTTGATTTTAAAATATTGGCTCTAGGTGAACAAGAAAAACCCAGAAGACAAGTATCCAGGGTAAGAAGCTTCATCTCCTCAATTAGTGGGATCTTCTCTCGCAGATTGTCTGGACGACGATCAGCCACAGCAGAAGATTTACCCGATCAGCAACGGAGAGGTGACACAAGGGGAGGTCATCCAAGTCGTCGAAAGTCAGCCCCGCCCATACGATCTCAGACCAAGGCCAAGAAGACCATTAAATGTCAGAAAGCCGACACCAATGTCATCTTGGTGTCCATGAAGGATCTTGATCAGATGGACAATGTTGCTACGGGCGACCCGGTGTATTGTGATGGGTGTCAGGTTGTGTTGTCTTGTATCTCTGAGACACAACAGGATGGAGACAAGCTGCTATGGAACTGGTAATATTAAAGCCATTGACATTCATTTACTATGCAGAGGTTGCACATACTGAAATGAAATTGGTATACAGATTTATCAGAAAAATATCTATGGGCCAGGTTTTGTTTTTTGGTACGATTGAGCAATTTTTGACAGAGTTATGCCCCTTGGACTTAAAAATTCTAATTATTTGCAGTTTCCTTTCATTTTCTTTGCAGATCTAGAGGTTGCATATACTGAAATGAAATTGGGTATATGTACAGATTTATCATCCCCTTGTCTAAGGGAGGGAGGATAAGTGTTTCACAAACATCTCTTGTTTATTCATATCACTCTTAGGGCCGGTGTAACGTTGAATATTGACCCGAGTTGAAAATTGACCCGGGGGTCATTTTTCAACGTTGAATATTGAACCAGGGGTGTTTTTTCTCCGTTGAAAATTGAGACCAAAAGTCGTTGAATTTATACCCGGGGTCATTTTTCAACAGCTTGATATTTTTTTTCTTATCCCCGATGACCACAACAAGTTGAAAATAGACCCTGTTGAAAATTGACCCCACCTCAGAGTTTGAACATTTTTTGAACTGGGAAGTTGTTTTATGGGATTTATCAGTATCTCTATATTTTTTATATTTCGGTTTCATTTTATTTTCTCTTTTCAAGAATAATAGAAATAAACCTATCATCCTGTGTATATATATATATATGTACATTTTGATCAGTACCCAACTTCAGTTATCTTCAAGCATGAATTTTTTGACAATACTTTCTAAAATCCACATCCATAAATAACAACAAAACTATGAATAGGGCATAAAACAAAAATCCTGGAAATCTGGTGTCTAGAAAGTGAGACCAATATGTATTAATCGGGTGGGCAGAACATCCCATCTAGTCAAATTCAGTATAAAAATTAACAAAATTAAAAGCCTAAAAATTAGAATGAAACACATCGTCAAAATAAATCCAATGATAGGTTATATTTGTGAAAAGATCAATATAGCGACCATAACATGTACATGTAAGTAATGCTGACTTCAAACAAGGTTGGTGAAATCCCTGTAACAAACGTATCTGTCAGTAGCCTGTGTTGCAGTCACTATTGAAATAACGACCACTATTGAAATAATTATATCAATAGTGGTTGAGAGTGCATTTCAATAACAAACATAGGTAATAACCACTATTGAAATACAACCACTATTGAAATAATTATATCAATCGTGGTTGAGAGTGCATTTCAATAACAAACATAGATAGTAACCACTATTGAAATACGACTACTATTGAAATAATTATATCAATAGTGGGTGAGATTCATTTCAATATTAACTCACATAGGTTGCAAGTTGCAACCACTATTGAAATAATGTTCACTTTTGAAATAAAAATTTCAATATGGATTAGATTATTGATTTCAATAGTGCTTTGAACAATGAGTCCAATATATATTGAAATAATTATTTCAAAAGTTGCTGACGCGGTGAAACTTTTGTTTCAATACTGGTAGTATGTCAATAGTGGTTGAAACCTATGGTTTCCATATTGAAATGCACTCTCAACCACTATTAGATATATATTTCAGTAGTGCTCGTATTTCAATAGTGGTTGAAACCTATGGTTATTATATTCAAATGCACTCTCACCCACTATTGAAATGAAAGAAAAAGTGAGCCAGCTCACATACCCCACGCTCCCCGAAAACTTGACGGTGAAACACATAATGAAAGGCACAGTGGCGGACGGGTCAAAAACATGATACCTCCCGCAACTAGTTGCGTGGGGTATAATAATCATTTCAAATAGTGGTCGTATTTCAATAGTGGTTACTATTAATGTTTTTTATCGAAATGCACTCTCACCCACCATTGAAATTATTTCAAAAGTGGTCGTATTTCAATTGTATTGGTTAATGTTTCTCTAATTGGATGGAAGGACTGCTTAAAAAATTCCTCACAAACTATCCCGTGTTTCCCCGTTTGTGTGTGTGTGTGTGTGTGTGTGTGTGTGGGGGGGGGGGGGGGGGGTCAATGTTATATTTTGGCTACTTTATTACAAAAATTAAATAACGCTGAAAGTCAGGGTTGTGTATCTAATGCAATCATTTTTTGATTTAAAAAACTACAAAAATGAAGAAAACAGCCCAGTCACAAATAATGCATTCCAGAATAAAAAAGGAAAATCCAGGAGTACTTTTTCTAGCTTTCAGTCAAAATTAATGATGGAAATTGCTGAATTAGAGGAATAATTGTATATAGAATACTGGACATAACTAGTATATGGTTCATAATAATTCGATTAACTATCTAGATGATTAAGATTACTTGCATGTCCATAGTTATATCAATTTACTGAATTATATGGACCTAATGAACATAGCATTCTTTCATATTTTTGATGCCTCTTTCCTCCTTCCTAGAGGAATATTCCTCCATCATCTTTTATATTCACATCAGACAGAAATGATATCATACAAGTACGAATCTTTATGCTGTATTTAGCATATATTAGGAAATCCATGGACATTGATTAGCAGATAGTTACATAGCCTATTACCTGGTAGAACATTTTAATATGCCCAGGCTTTTGAAGAAAATTGCATGATTTTAGACTTTTTCAGTACTTATGTGGTATTTACGGTTCTTAGAAATTATAATACATAGGGTAACATTCCTCTATCATCCATGAATACTGATGAACACAATATAAAAAATGAACATTTCAATGTCTTTATATTTCTGTTACAAATTATACATAGGGGAACATTCCTCTATCATCCCTGAATACTGATAAACACAATATAACAAAAATGAACATTTCAATATCTTTGTTACAAGTTATACATAGGGGAACATTCCTCTATCATCCCTGAATACTGATAAACACAATATAACAAAAATGAACATTTCAATATCTTTGTTACAAATTATACATAGGGGAACATTCCTCTATCATACCTGAATACTGATAAACACAATATAACAAAAATGAACATTTCAATATCTTTGTTACAAATTATACATAGGGGAACATTCCTCTATCATACCTGAATACTGATAAACACAATATAACAAAAATGAACATTTCAATATCTTTGTTACAAATTATACATAGGGGAACATTCCTCTATCATACCTGAATACTGATAAACACAATATAACAAAAATGAACATTTCAATATCTTTGTTACAAATTATACATAGGGGAACATTCCTCTATCATCCCTGATTACTGATAAACACAATATAACAAAAATGAACATTTCAATATCTTTGTTACAAATTATACATAGGGGAACATTCCTCTATCATTCCTGAATACTGATAAACACAATATAACAAAAATGAACATTTCGATATCTTTGTTACAAATTATACATAGGGGAACATTCCTCTATCCTCCCTGAATACTGATAAACACAATATTAAAAAATGAACATTTCCATATCTTTCTGTTTGCTACAAATTATACATAGGGGAACATTCCTCTATCATCCCTGTATACTTATAAACACAATATCAAAAAAATGAACATTTCTTTATGTTTGTTACAAATTATACATGGGGTAACATTCCTCTATAATCCCTGAATACTGATAAACACAGTATTAAAAAATGAACATTTCAATATCTTTCTGTCTGTTACAAATTATACATAGGTGAACTTTCCTCCCTGAATACATGTACCGATTAACACAATATTACAAAAAGGAACATTTTGATATCTTCATGATGGTTAGAAATTCTACATACTAGGGGAACATTCATCTATCCTAAAGAATATTCCTCTACATCCAAATTTTACAAAAAGTTATGAAAAATTATTTTACATGTCCTTCTATACGCTACATTGAACATATGTGGGAAAATTCCTTATCATCCATAAAAGTTAATAAACGGGAAGTTACATATAAGGATATTGTAGTAAGATATTATACATAAGGTAACATTCCTTTATCATCCAAGATACTAACAAACGAAATATTACAAAAAAACCATCTTTATGTTTGTTACAAATTATACATGGGGTAACATTCCTCTATTGTCCATGGATATTGTTGAATGCAATATAACAAATATGAACATTTCAATATTATTATTACATGTATACATAGGGGAACATTCCTCTATCCCCGTGAATACTGATAAATGGAATATTTAAAAAAGGAACATTTCACTATGAGAAATCTGTGTTTGTTACAAATTATACATAAGGGACAATATAACAGTACAACATTTTACTCTGGTCACGACATAGTTCAACGTTTTACTACCATTTCTCATTGTGATATCAAAAATATTTCGTATCACTCGTAGAGATTTCTTGGCAGTATTCCAGGGTGTTATGATGAGCCCCAAAACATCTCAACTTCTAAAGATACGGAGTCCTAAAAGCCAGAATTACATGAGAGAATGGTGAGAATCACCCAAAGGAGAAAACATGTCAGATGGGATATTTTCACCCATTGGGATTTTTTTCCCACAAATTTGTTCAAATAGGATAAAACCCAGGGATGTTGACAATCAAACAATTTTTCCAATTCACTGTGAAACATGAAATATATCCCATACAGTATGACAATGACAGATTTCTTATCATAATACATAGAAAATGTACCATATATAACAATGTATTTGAAAAACAATTCATTGTTGAAATCCCTGGGATTTATCCCATTTGAACAAATTTTTGGGAGGAAAAAAACCCTAGGAAAAAATATCCTGACATTTTTTTTTCTCCCATTGGAGAAACGTGGTATAGTTGGTGGGACTGAAAATCCCACCATTCTCCCATAGGATTCTGAGTTTTAGGACTTCATATCTTGAGAAGTGGAAAAATTTGTGAGTTCAACAAGAGACCCTGGAATACTGCTAAGAAATGCCACCAAGTGATAAAAAATATTTTTGAATTTTGATATTTGATATGGTGATAAAAAGTCTGGGCTATGTACCGTGTCAAGATTTAAATTTCGCATTGTTAATATTATACAGAATGTAAAATAAACATTTCCTATAGAAAATATTAAAGGAATTCCACATTTGTTCAAGTAGAATTAAAAAGGTTAACAAAATCCAAAGAGAGGACTAAACTACATTTTGTTCATGCCAAAGCATTGATAAACATTCCTCCAACTTTATTGATATTTGATGTACAGAATTTCTTCCATGGATAACATCTTACATGTATACCGGTACATTACTTTTCCCTTATGTAGTTATTTACTGCCAATAACTGCTCATCAATAGATGCTGACAGTTTATCAATTTTGATCTGTTTTTCTTCTATTTCTCCTTTCATTGATAATATTATGAATGCTTCTTCATAAGTTTGCTGGTCTTTTTCGTTTATTTTGAAGGAAAGCTTTTGCGGACGGTGTAAAAATTGTCCATCTTGAATTACGCCAATATGTTTGTGGCAGTATGTCAGGAAAGATTTATCCCTTAATGCGTAATAAATTTTTCCTTTTGTGTACTCTACAAGAACCACTTCTAAATCTGAATTATCCTTGGTTGCCTTGTTTATCTATAATGTTCAAAATGATCTAAGTAAAAAATTTCATCATAAATTGTATGATATTAAAATATCAAACATAAAAGTATATATATTATAATATAAAAGTTTAAATGATTATTGCAAATCCCCCCTCTCACCAAAAGCTAAACAGCAAGCAACAAATAAATTATATACCTTTTTTTCAGCAGTTGAACATTTTGAGGATACTTCTTCAGACACAGAACTTTTCTTTTTCTCTAAGCATTTCTGTAATTACAAGGAACACATGCATAGTGTCTTATTGTAACTATTATGCTTCTTTTTATAGCTGAATTGGTATCCAAAATGAATGTTCTAACTGCATGTGTAATTTGTTACTGAAGTCTTTACATATACCGGTAATTGCCCTTCTTAATAAATGTAAATATCACATCAAGCAAACAACACTTTGTTTATCTATTTCTCTATTCTGATTTAGTATGTTTTACATATTATATTTAAATATTTACTTGATGACCAGAAGACATCATTTTAAGATTCTGTCGGGCACGTGCAGCTGCATCCTCAGCATGCTGTTTATTTTGGATTTCATCTTTTAATTTTTCTTCTAAGTCAGTTATCATCTTCTAAAAATGAAAAGGCAATATACACATATAAATGTAATATTCAACAAGTACAGTGTATATAATCATGAACAAATGCAAACAACTTACCTGTAAGTTGACCTCCGTCACTTTCTGCTGCTCAGCTTTAGTTAATACAGCAATTAAGTGCTTCTTCATGGCCTTAAAGATAAAATTAAAATTTTTATTTGATCATTGCATATGACAGAATTTCATTCTATTTTTATTTAAACTATTTTGTTTCCCCCACATTTTCAAGGTATGAATGTCTTTCAACATGATTTAATAACTGTTATATATTTACATGGTTAAAATAGAGTCTTATAAATGCAGGTAGTTTATTCATACAGTTTTAAACATAGGTAACACAGGTAAACTCTACTGTGCCCCTTAGAGGGGCCCCTTAATTGAGTGTGATAATAATACTGTTTACATAGGGAGTACAGTTCAGGGAACACACCATTTAAATTTTGCACATTGTTTTACTTTTTAACAATATTAAATGCGGGCAAGACATCTAACTACTTACAATAATCTTACTGTCCTTCTCTTTGAGACAGCGATCCTGCTGTTCGACTGACTGTTCAGCATGTTTAAGTTTTTCTGTTAATGTTGCTATTGTCTGCTGAAGATTTTTAATTTCTTTTTCTTTCTCATCGAGTAAATTTTCATTCTCTGTCTGAACCACTTTCTTCCCACTTGTTTTCTTTGGCCTGGTATGTATATCATATGATTAAACATAAAGTTTATAAAGGATGTCCTTAATTTATTGTTTTGAAAGAAAACATGCTTAAAACAATAATAAATCTTACAGGTATGTCATTGTCTACAAAACATATTATTGAAATACATGTAGATAATGCTTACCCTTGGCATTCATCCTGGTTTGCTGTCATGACATCAACAGCTTTTCTCTTTTTGGATTGTGTTTGCCTATTGAATAGAAAGTTGCAAACAATTCTATGCATAAAAGAATTCCAAACCATTTGTATTTTTCTTGTATGTAACCATTGACCATTATAATTAAATTATACATTCTTACTTGTTCGTAGGCGGCTCCCGTTCACATTTCTTTTCACAGTTTTCTGTTTCACATCTGTAATATTAAATTCAAGCTGATCAATATTTTAAATATTCCCTATGGATTAATTAGCAATAAATTTACATGTAAGACAATTACCTCTGACAAGCACTTCGAAACTCCTCTGGTATCATTTCTCCATTTTTGAATCTGGTTAGCAAAGAGATTTTCAATTCATTGTTTTTGACTTTAGAAAAATGCCAAAAACAATACTGAGAACACTGCTCTGCTCTTTTCTGGCCTTTAATGCAACCATTTTCAAAAGCATTAAAGACATCTTTTATGAGTTCCCAAATGTCATTTTTGCTGGCTGCCAAGTTAAGATGGACTTTATATGAGTTTTTGAGTTCAGTCTTCTGAAATTAGAGCAAGAAAAAGAGAGAAAAATCTCAGTTAAAGCAGATTGAAACTTAAATGCAAATAGTGGATGCATCTTAAATGCATAATAAAAGCCTAATTTCAAAATACTTTTCACTTTTATTAGAAAGCAATAATTGTATTTAAAATACATCGATCAGAAGCCTTCCTATTTTTTTTTTTAGATTTTGTCAAAAAAGATGTAGTACATCACTTTAAACAATGTTAAATTCAAAAATGAAAAAAAGGTTTTGCTAATTATCATATAAATATTACCCTGAGGTTGATGAGGTTGACCCAGAGATATATCGACTTTACAGAAATTCAATATGCTTTTAAGTTGATATATCTATGGATTGACCGAATTTAACATTTGTTCTATTTTATTTTTTTTACAGAGATTTACAACATTGCCAAAAGTTTTCTTTCTTGTCTTTTTTTAACACAGAGAGACTAGAGATTTAAAAAATCTGTTTAATGTAAACTGTGTTATTCTTTGTACTTATTGGAGTAATTTAGAGGATATCCTTTTTTAAACGGCTAATTTGTCTCATTAAGTTTTGTATTTATTTTTGAAAAACATATCTATTTTGTTTTGACATAAAGTAGATTTTTCTTCAAGGCACCCTATGTCATTTTAATTATAACAGAACATCAAATTATGAATAGGATTTTAAGTACAATTTTCTTATAGAACCAGAAGTCTCTGTCGAGACTGGAGCTCTACTGGTTTGTACTTATAGCAAATGAGGAGAAAAGTTCTAAAGCAGTTCAAAATTTAAACTTTACCACAGCAATAAAAGGAATAATGATCCTTTATTAAGTCTCTTTATGTTCTTAGTGTAGTCTATTTGCATGCCACATTATATTATAATAATCAAACTGTATTTGGAGTAGCATTTTGAGAGTATTTAACAGAGATTTCTATTTAGTAACCAAAGCAATAATGTTCATCAAAGTCAAAAAAACGATAAACAGAATTATGTATCTTAGTGTTGTCTACTTGTGTGCCAATTAAATTGAAATCAGACCAAAACAGCAGGAGGAGTAGCATTTTAAAAGAATTTCACAGAAATTTCTATTTTTAATTACCACGGCAACAGCGTTCATCGAAATACAATGTAAAAAACCGATACACAGAATTATGTATCTTAGTGTAGTTTAAAAGATATTTTTATTTTTAATTTTTAAAAAGTGCAAAATAGCATAACTTTATTTTCTCATTAAATAATTACTGATTACTCGATCAATAATACATCCCCATTTTATTCCATATCATGGATATTTTTTTTTATATCAATTGCCAGTTATTATTTTAATGTATTATTACATGTATTTTAATATCAAAGTGATATGGTTTCAAATTATATACAATAGCTCATTAATAGTCAGCAATCTTTAAATGGTTAACAAGAGGCTGACTCAAGAGTGTCAATTTAAAATGGGTTTGGGAACAGGAAATAGCACATTTATTGTGTTTATATTGTTACGGGGATCCTCCCTGTCACTGGCACTAGTTAATAATGACGATTTTTTAAATTTACATTGTTCATTTACATATTTACATAAGATATATTTATAAGATATATTTATAAGAAATCATAATGTTCACAATAAAAAGACACGTCCACACTCATTGACTTTCAGACTTGTTCTCCTCTCTCTCACACGTGTTCCCAGGGTATGGCCATACTAAACTTTCTCACACAAATCAACTCAATGCTCACTTTTATCTCTCAGAACTCTATCACGCACAATAAACAACGATAACAGAAATGACAAACAAACAATTATAAATCCATGCTCGCTAACTAACTTAAATTACACTCTTGGGAAAAAGGGCTACAAGTCGCCTGCACCGCACACCTGCAAGCCATCAGAACTAGTAACTCTCTCAATTACAAATAATTAATTTGGGCTATTGCTTTGTGACATACCTCCCCTCTTAAGTGTGGCGTCTCGACACACTAATATAATTACATGTAGTAGACTGATAATGACAATTTGATATCGTTTACATAATTAACTGTCTTCACCAGAATCACACATTCATAGATAAAGAGACCTTACTACACACAGAATTAATAAAATATTTAACATGCATACACATTTCGTGTTTACATTTTTTATAAGATTTTTGCTTTTTATCTTTTCTTTTTTTTTAAACGAATGTTCATTTTAGAATTTGATATACATTATGTACACAACCTATGTATATACTCTTCAAGTAGTTATTTCTTTGACTGAATAAAATCTTCTCATAATTACATATGCATCACACACTCTCACTAACTTCTTTGCATCAGGACTACTACTAGAAATACACTCATTATTTAAATACAAAGAATTATTTGTATCATCAATATATCATGCAAAGTCTTTCAAAATATCAAAACTAAAAATACAGTTATACTGGAAATCCCGGGCAATAAAAGCATTACACACAACATCAGATTTTTTTTTTACCAATTCTTATTATAAAAACGCATTTTTCCAATTATGTCGACAGGGTCGCCCTTTGCCATGCACAATATCCGTCTTTTTATCTTAGCAATTTTTATTCTAAAATCTCATTTGACAAACAAACAAATTATACATCCATGATCGCTCAGTCGCTTTCTCTCTAACTAACTAAAATTACACTCTTGGGAAACAGGGCTACAACGCCTGCGCCACGCACCTGCAACCTATCAGAACTTCTAACTCTCTCATTTACAATTAATTAATTTGGGTGATTGCTCTGTAGCAATATTCAGGGAAAATTATCAGTGTTTGCTGTCCTTATTTATTTGTTTTTTAACCTCTGCCCAAGGAATTGTGCAGTTTTACATTCTCCATCCGTCTTTGATAACGAAATTGAAATGACTGACCAAAAGCTTGTGTTATAATTGACACATCATGTATGCTCCAACCATTAATCATTGGAAACTCCAGAGTCAGTTATAGAAAGCAGATGCACATATCAAGTTACACCACTTAGAAATGAGAAAATTTAGCTGCGAAAGATTATGTCTGAGGTCAACTTCTCTTTTATAAGTATGCCAGATGTTAGATTAACAGATTCCCTAAATAATTCTTTAAAAGTAATTTTTTAAAATATGGGAAATATATTCAACTTGAGGTAGAAATCATTTCTAATAATATAACTCTCAAATTCTGAAAGTTTTCAAACTTATCTATGTGATTTTTTTGTATTACCGGTAATATAATTTTTTTAAAATCTTATTTTCAATAAGGTAACAATGAAAAGTAGTTTGATTCCATTATCTTAGTTACATGTAGAAGTCCATTTTTTCGCCTGTCAGTTGTTTAATATATAATTCCTTTTCGCCCGTGGTTGGGATAAACGAATCAAGTAGTGAGGGTCCGACCTTATTGTTTCTCTTAGTAGCTGTGTTTATCACAAAATTTAAAATGGAAAATTCAAAGCAAAAGCTGCTCTCCTTTTTAAACATTTTAAGATCAGTATATATTATTTTTTTAGTGTTCGAAACATACAATTCCACACCCATTCCACAAAATTTGCATAATTATAACCATATCATCATAAATTATAAATCAATTGCAATTGTTTCAAAAATAGTTACATATTCTTTCGAATATTTAATAAAAAGAGCAACATTATCAAGAATTAGATTAAAATATATCATGTAAAATATTTCTTATGAAATATAGCAATAATCAAAAGCTCAGTGTCTACTGTCTTAAATGAAAACATTTATTTTTCCTTTTTAAATAGAATAAACTGTAAGACTTACAATTTATCTTAATCACAATATGTTTTGTTGCTCCATTCTTTTTGTATTGAAGTAATAAAAATAATCAATAAAATATTATTAATACAATTAATTAATAATAATAAAATATTATTAATTAATTAAAATTAATAATTAATAAAATAGAATAAACTGTAAGACTTACAATTTATCTTAATCAAAATATGCATTATTGCTCCATTGTTTTTGCATTGAATTAATTTGGCAACAGGTTTTGTCTTTATTACCTGCTGCAGACAAAGAGCACAGCCAGGCTCTTACCATTAAGACCAATGACATGCCCTTTCTATATTTGTGAATATATAGCCTAAACTATCTTTAATAATGGTGTGCCCCGCAGCTGGATTCTGTTGACTTGCATATCTTTATTGCATATCTTTATTGCAAGTTTGAATGTTAAATCTTGGTGCCCTACATTTTCATTTTTTTTAATTTTCGCTGTTTTCTATTTCTTCCTGACCTGACAAGGTCATGTAATTTTTAACTTGGGAAGAATTTCTGGGTCATTATCCTATCTTGTAACTTTTGATTCCCCGACCCATGTGTATAAAGATCATTGTCCTTTTTTTTTAATTTATTTCTTTTTTTTATTTGGACAGCCTGACCTCACTTGGCACGCTCTGTATCTGGATTGTGTTTTGTAACATATTTTTCTGACACTTTGAACATTGTGAAATTTCTGTGCCCTACATTAATCCAGTTTCATTACTTTCTAAGCTCTGATCTTATTCTGACCTGCTAGTGGCTGTATTACAGCATCAGAATAAAAAATAAACTTCATAATATTAAAAAGCCAAATTTATTTTAAAAAAACGAAATAAATCTGAATTTTTTGAATTGTAACATTATTTTATTTTACATCTACTTTTTTAAAGTTTTACCAGATCACTCTATATGAATCAGAAGCTGGTATCAATGATTCTGATTAATTTGACACAGATTTAATGGATTGTCTCGAGTAAACCTTGTCCTCTAAGCGTATGTTTCATTGTCGCTCGACTTCTATATCTCGTAGAAAACCCTTAGTAACATTCTACATGTCTTTCTAACCCTTTTGTGGCCATATGCTTTAATTTATAGCATCAGACTGAAATTTTAATACTATCAAAAAAATGATCAATTAATTACGAGGAATGAGCAATGTTATTGAGTTGGGAAGAACAAAGTAAACAAAAAAAAATTTAGCTGAATGACTAAAAAAAAGGAGAAATATGTCTTATTTTTTAAATGTTAAAATTTTTCATTTAATTTGTTTCATTTAACTATTATTATTTTGTTTTTAGTTTTTACATGTACCAGGTCAATAGATCATTGGATTTTGCATTTTACAAAACTTATATAATTTATTTTCTATCATTAAATAAATTCAGTTCACTTTATTGGGTAAGAAATACATCTTACTGTAAACTGCAGGATTAACTGTTCAAAGCTACATATAATTAAAAAAAATACAAATATGTATATTTAAAAGTATATGGATATGCAACTAAATTCAACACAGTTACAGTTTTTATAGGTACATGTAATTATTTAATTAAAGATATAATATTTTACAGGTGACCTCCTTTTTTGATCGTCACTTAAATGGCTCAAGTACTTCCGATTTTGTAATCCATAAGGTTTGGTATCTACAGAGGGATACATTTTCTAATTTGTCATAAATATTGCTTAAAAATAACTTTTCAATATCCAGTATATGTAGACTAAAGCAAATCAATGAAAAGTATATAAAATACAGAATACAAAATTTAGATTGTGAAATATTTATTATAAAGACTTACCAGAGCCCATATCATTTTACCGTTTTACATCGTTTTTTTTTTTTTTGGGGGGGGGGATGTTTGTTTTTTGCTGTTTGCTGAGCAATGTTTACTTATGAGATATACTTACAAAAAAATTTAAAATCAGATTTTAATTGTAAAAGAAATATTCAAATTTTAAGCGAATGATGAATTCTTTTTTTTTTTTGTTTCTCCAGTAGATAGATATTCTCCCCCGTTGTTACAAAAAATTAAATTTGTAATTTTCATTTCTCGGGATAATTAGTAACACATGCATCGTGTTAATTATTTTTGTTAAAAAGAGAATATACATTTTTCATTCTTGAGATGTACAATCACAATCATGTATACATACTGTATTTAACAGGAATAATTTTAAAAACTAATACTTACGGATTTGTTCATAATTGCAGCAATGTCAGATCTCCATTTAGCTGATATAGTTTTTGGAGGTTGTCCGGCATTGTTCCTTTGACATTTAAGAAGCAGTCTGTGAAAAAAGCAAACTTTTTCTGCAAAGCTTAACTCTTGGGAGTGTTCATGGAGCTCATTATGTTTGTATGCTAGAAAAAGAGCCTGATCCTTCGTCAAGTTTTGATAAACATCCATATAAATAAACTCATATTGATCCTTATGAGTACTTTCAGCAGAATTCACAATTTTCTGTAAGGCTGCTCTTGTATGATTTCCACCAAGAACCTCTATTTGCTTTTTTCCTGGTATTGCAAGGTCTTCAATTGTGAAATCCTCGCTTATAAGTCCAACCAATGTAGTATAAGGCTGGAAGTTTTTTGCAAATGACTCAACAAGTTCATTCACATGCTTTTCATTTAGCAATCTTATGCAGTGATCATTGTCTGGAGAAATAAGGTTAGCAACATGTACTTTGACATGATTCCCTAAAATATAATAAACAATAAAATTGTAATTTCAAAATGTCCTGTCTTGTAATAAATTGAATTAAATCATAATCAATTATAACATACCTTTCAGTGATTTTTGAATTATACCAGCATCTATACTTCTGAAAATTTCCTCCGATTTATCGATATCTTGAGACATCTTGAAGTTTGATAATTAATCTACAAGGTTGTATAGGATCCTATACCTAACGGTAATGATTCTAAGTGAAGCGCCTTAGTATAGCTTAACTAATCGCAGTGCTGAGTGAATTTAACCAATCAGCGTGTGTGATTTCTTTTGAACTTAAGTGCACTGCTATCAAATAGTGGAAATTATTCTTTTACTCACTTCAGCAGAGATCTATGCAAAAAATGAGCAATCCAAGAAAATTTAACCCTGTTTCCAAAGAGTGGCAAGAAGACACTTGTAACGAACTTGGAATTTCTTTAATTGAAAGAGCTGATCATATTCATGAACCAAACTCTTATTTAGGAGAACCGTCTACTTGTATTAGAATCAAAGGTGATGGAAATTGTTTGTTCAGAAGTCTTGCATTTTCTGTCAGTGGAAATGAAGAACTTCACATGTATTTCAGGACCTTGCTCACATCATTTATTTCAAGGAGTAAAGATCCTATTGTACGTGATGAGACTCCTGATTGTTATTTAAAACGAACTCGGATGAGGGAAAATCATGTGTGGGGGACTGATATAGAACTATATTTTGCGGCAATGTTTTTGAATTGTTCAATTTTTGTTTTTTCAAAGCATGGAAAAGGATATGACTGGTTAGAATTTAAACCCTCAAATAGCAAAAGCACAGATTTTGCAATTTATCTGCACCATAAGAATGGTGATCACTATGATGTCGTTACATCTGTTACAAATTCCAGACTTGAAATTGATTTACCAGTATGTGAAGATGAAAATAAAACCAAGCCCTTTATTCTTGTTGATATCGATAAACAAAATGAAAAGGAGGAGACACACTTCAATATTTCCATGGTGAGTAAAATTTTAACTTTATTAATAGCCTTCGAAAAGTTTATAAAAATGGGTATAATTTTCTGCTTTTATATTACTTAATACTTATATCAGAAAACATCTATCTATGCCACAGTTAAAATATATCTTTATGTCTACAACTTACTACAAAAATAATATGGAAATTGTTAATCAAAAAGGGTGCATTCATAAAGAACACTCCAACAAGAATTATTGCTTCCATTCCTTTTTTATAATATTTACATGTATTTTTATAAATCCTCATTCTTAAAAGACCTTTTTGATTCAAAATTCTCTATTTATTATTTAAATCACTATTTCTATCTACATGTATATCATTGACAATTACAGGCTAAGTAAAGTCCAAGTTTAAGATGTAATAAAATCATATTTATTTAATTAAAATATTAACAGTTAGATAAACCAACAAGAATCATTATAGATCTTGAAAGAGCTATTTTCCAACTTCAATCTGCAATGTTTGTTCTTAGTTAGTATTAGATAGAAAGATACTTAAAAAAAATTCTTTTCAAATATGTCGGTTTTAAAAAAATGTCTACCTTACACGAAATTTTAATTGGCTATTCATATTAATATCTTTGTAGTCAAATCTTTCTGATATATTGCAAAGCATGAGTTTTGAAGAAAGTGATGCAAATGGATCAATTGAAAGCTATAAGAGTCATGTGAAAGAAAAGCCAGATTTACAAAGTGGACAAAAAGAGGACCCTTTTGAATTTGAAAATGAGGTAATAAAAACTAATAGTCACTATTTCAATGTATATTTTAATGAATTTTAAATATTTATTTTATTGATTGCAGAGTGGAAAACCAAATCAAATTAAAAACTAAGGGGAAAAGGAACATATTTAATTTTTAAAAAGTGTTTTTTTAAAGATTATTTAAGTTTGAATGTTGCATTGTTTTGAAACATTTTCAACCTGAGTGTAATAAATGGGATTTTATTATTTTTATTGTATAACAATAAATAAAAATCTTATAACCATCTTTCAATGATTATTATTTGACTTAGTGATATATTGTTTTACTTGTAGGATATGTTGGATTATAAGAGGGAGCCTTTTTTACAACTAACATCAACACCAAAAAAAATTAAGTCTCATTTAGACTGGAAACAAGTTTCGCCGAAATTTAAGGTAACATTATCAAATAAATATAGTTGAAATATTTCATGCTTTTTCCTGAAAATTAATGGTGTCAAAATAAAGAAACTGGCGGTGCTATTGAAGAATATGATATTGCAATCAGATACCATGTATTTAACGTAACAGATGAAAGCAAAATCGTCAAAAATACTTATGATAAATCCCCTAATTCAAGTGTTTGATGTGCATTATGAAGGTTGACATGTAGTCACGGTACATATGTTTAGTCTACAGCTTATTGTACTGTTTATGATAAAATGATAAATATGTTTTGTGTTTGAATTATTCTTAAGTAACTTTAAATCAATTTTGCACACATCATTCATTTGATGGGAGATAAAATTATGTTTGGTATATTACACTTGTTCCAACTGTGATTTGTGTAAAGTTAGGCTGCTTCAATGTACATGTACTCGAATTAAGAAACATGAGGTAGATTATACTAGTAATTTATTTGTAGTCGATTGTTGACTTTGCGTGGTTTTTATTTTAGGATGAAATAAACAGAAGTCACTCAGAGGAAAGGCTGAATATTAGTAATATCAGCATATTCAATTCAAGTTTTGAGGAAAATGTTAAGAAAAGAAAGCCAAAATCAAGCAAGAAAAAGCATAGTTCTATCCTTTTAACAAAAGCATTAAAAGACATTTCGTCATCTATAGAGAAAAGAAAAAAATGCCAACAGTTTTGTTTGAAACATGTCACTTCCGAAATGATGAAATGTATGAGATATAGGTTTTGGACAAAAAGTTATGACCAACGAGTTGAGTGGTTTATAGACAAAGTAAAAGAATCTAAATGCCAAAGAGGAAAGGCTACATTTACAATCGATGGTGGCCACAATGTGTGCTCTTCTTGCTTCCAATTGCTGCTGAAGATCAACAAAAATTTCTACTACAAGTATTTCAAAAAAGCTACAGAAGGAAAATCAGCAGCTAGCTATAGAAATACTAGGGGATTTGGAGAGGCAAGAGAAGGGGCCATTTTGTGGTTGCAAAATTATGAGTACTTCCATGCAGACAGAATGCCTGATAATGGTGATATGATGTTGCCATTCAAAACAAGAAAGATCGATCTTTATGATCTATATGTTGATGAAAAAATTCAGCAACTGACAATATCTATTAAATTTGCATATACTGTCAGCAGGTCGGCATTTTATGAAGTTTGGAAAACAGAATTTCCAAAATTGAAGATAAAACAGGTATAACTTCATAATCGTATCATTATAACATTGAAATACATGTAATTACAAAATAAATAATCCTTCAAGAAATAGCTAATCAAAATTAAAGAAATTGCATATACACCTTCTTTTCAGACAAATTCATTTTCGAGATGTAGCACGTGTGTGCACATTGACCGAGAGCTAGAAAAAACACGGGATCCTGTTAAAAGAGAAAAGCTTAAAGAAATGATGTCTGTCCACAATCAAAGGCAAATGTAAGCGTAGCAAATCGAAGCATTGAATAATAGAAAGTTTTAATTTTAAATTGTACACATTATTATATAGAATATCTAGGAAAATATATAAATTATAAATATCCATCGTCTGCTTCATGATAGGGAGAATAACTTAAAGTTGTCTATAATAATCTTTTAAGGAAAGAAAGAAGATACTACTACAAGAAAAGAGAATTGGCTAGGCGCAATCCTAGTCAATTTCTAAGTATCATCATTGATGGCATGGACCAGAGTAAGTTTCTTGTAAATTTAAATGATTTTTTGTAGTTTGTATATATTAATTACACTGTCAAATCCAATTTCCAAATCATTTAACATATTGATATTTTCTACAGGTAAAACTAACTTGCCACATTTCACAGGAAGACTTATGAAGGTATTTTAAACATCTTTTTTAATTATTTATCAAAGAGGTACCGTTTTATCGGATTTATTATATACTTTGAGTTTATCATTTTTTAACACTTTTCAATTTAAATCTGAAAATAATTAATTATTAACTTAAATCAATTAATTCATACAAAGTTTGTTCTTTATTTAGGGTGTTGACCCAAACAGTTTTCTGAAGACTCATATTCAAGGAGTATTGAATCATGGCCTGGAATCACTAGATTTGTATGTTGACATAAATGAATATATGCATGATGCAAATCTAGTGATGAATATCATATTGAAAAGCTCTTACAAGGCCTTATTAAAAGTAAGATTCAATTACCTGTTTTTCAATATGCTATCTTAAAAATTCTGAAAAGTAGAATAATAAAAATATGAACACTTATCAATGATCAACAGTCAAATAACGAAAAGATTTTGAAAAAAAATTTCAGACTGGTTTTCTACAAAGCACACTTTACATTCAAGCTGACAATTGTGCCAGAGAAAATAAGAATAAATATGTCCTTGGCTTCTGTGAGCTACTTGTAACTTTGGATATATTCAAAGAAGTAAGTAACAATTTGGTTTAGAAGACAAATGAATGACACTACATGTATAATGTTAATTTTACTGGGTAATGCAAGATTAAATTTAGTCCTAGTACTTCATTACAATAACATGATTTATCTGGATCAAGACTGTTATATTCAATGTATTTTTGAAATTTTGAATATGGACATCAGATTGAGAAAAAAACACATTTAATCGAAAATATTGTTGTTTAATGAATGAATTTTTTGAATAAAAATAATAATTTCTTACGGTAATTATTAATAGGTTATTTTTTTTTCTTCCAGGTTCATTTATCGTTTCTTCATGTAGGTCACACCCATGAAGACATCGATGCTGCATTTTCACAGTTATCAACGAAGCTTAGAAAATCGGATGCGGAGACAATGCCAAAACTTCTTGCACTTTTGAATGGAGCCAAACAATTAAGAGGGCTATTCGACCTTAAAACATGGCTTGAACCATGTTTGAATCAGATCAAAAAACATTCCAAACCGCTGCATTTTAAGTTTAGCAGAGACACATCAAAGAAAGTTGTTATGCACTACCGGCCCAACAGCAGTCGACCATGGTCTCCAACAGAAGAAACTATGCTTCATACAGTCCCTCCTGGCAAACCAAAACCCCTCGTACCTCCAAGCTTCCATAAAATCGACATAGAGGCCATAAGAAGGAATGTAGAGAAGCAACAATACCATATGTCTGGAGGTAGTGAGTACATGTGGTGGCAGCAATACTTGGAGTACTTGCAACTAGTAAAAACTAATGAAGATGTAATGTCAGATTATGCAAAAAAAGAAGCAGACTGGTTATTACCAAAATTAATGGACAAACAGCAGAAAAAACAAAGCTCTAGTGATGAAATTGAAAGTCATTTACATGAACTGCTAGACAGAGAACTTGACGACCATAAGGTATGTACAAAGACAATAGTGTAATGTACATGTAGTATGTACAAAATGTAGTATATGTAGTCATATGTCAATTTATATTTTGTGAATATTGTCAGTCAGCATATTCATAAACACATGCATGCATACCTATAAGGCTCAAACAGCAAGCTATAAATGGTTAACAGAGGATACTTATTTCTTTTCTCCTAGCACTTGATCCCACTTCTGAATTTTATGAGGTTCATGTTATTAAGTGCTGTCTGTTCACATAGTATTTTTTTTCACTTTTAATTCTTCCCATCGATAACTGTTTTCATCATCTTTATTTCGTACATATTTCTTTTCAGCTATGTGTAACATTTTTTGCATTTGTGTAAATTCAGATAATCCTTTCAAAAGCAAAACCTAAGAAGAAAGGAAAGAAAAACCAAGCAAGGAGATAGAAAAAATATTGGCAAGGAAAATGATTCGTCGAACAGTTTCATTAGCCTATATTTGCATTGAAACATGGAAGCTTTTTCTGACTGCATTGACAAACATTAATTTAAATGAAATTTTGACGAAGATTACATATACAAATTGTCACAAGCATGCACATCATTATTGAAATGTTCATTTTTGTTATATTGTGTTTATCAGTATTCAGGGATGATAGAGGAATGTTCCCCTATGTATAATTTGTAACAAAGATATTGAAATGTTCATTTTTGTTATATTGTGTTTATCAGTATTCAGGGATGATAGAGGAATCCCCTATATATAATTTGTAACAAAGATATTGAAATGTTCATTTTTGTTATATTGTGTTTATCAGTATTCAGGGATGATAGAGGAATGTTCCCCTATGTATAATTTGTAACAAAGATATTGAAATGTTCATTTTTGTTATATTGTGTTTATCAGTATTCAGGTATGATAGAGGAATGTTCCCCTATGTATAATTTGTAACAAAGATATTGAAATGTTCATTTTTGTTATATTGTGTTTATCAGTATTCAGGTATGATAGAGGAATGTTCCCCTATGTATAATTTGTAACAAAGATATTGAAATGTTCATTTTTGTTATATTGTGTTTATCAGTATTCAGGGATGATAGAGGAATGTTCCCCTATGTATAATTTGTAACAAAGATATTGAAATGTTCATTTTTGTTATATTGTGTTTATCAGTATTCAGGAATGATAGAGGAATGTTCCCCTATGTATAATTTGTAACAAAGATATTGAAATGTTCATTTTTGTTATATTGTGTTTATCAGTATTCAGGAATGATAGAGGAATGTTCCCCTATGTATAATTTGTAACAAAGATATTGAAATGTTCATTTTTGTTATATTGTGTTTATCAGTATTCAGGTATGATCATCAGGTCCATATAATTCAGTAAATTGATATAACTATGGACCCGCAAGTAATCTTACTCATCTAGATAGTTAATCGAATTATTATGAACCCTATACTAGTTATGTCCAGTATTCTATATACAATTATTCCTCTAATTCAGCAATTTCCATCATTAATTTTGACTGAAAGCTAGAAAAAGTACTCCTGGATTTTCCTTTTTTATTCTGGAATGCATAATATTATTTTTCAAATTCATTAAATTCACCAGTAATATGCATAGTAAACCCCAAAAGGTCGCAAGGAATCTGCAACTTCATCCTAAAAGAAAAATGACAACACATATTACGTTCAACTATGGAAAAATTTAACTTTATAGCAGTAAGTGCCCACCATACCGGTAAGGCATGAGGAGCTCGTGTTTAACAGGATTTCACCGAGATAAACATTGACGAAGATCCAAAAAGAGATTGAAAGTTAACTCATCAAGAGTTAAATCACTAGATAAAAGAACGAGTGCACTTATGGGCCCCGGTAAAATGTGAAAAAATAAACATTCAAATTAAGCAAAATTTTTCATCCCAAATCATTAATTGATATCTAAACCGTAAGATTCAACAAATTTTACCGCTGAAATTCACGTATATACAAAGAACAAAACCATAGAATGCGGCAGGGGTCAACCGACATTTATGATTTTCTATAGTAAATCGAGAACGGTCATACACTTCAAAGCTTTTGTTTACTATGAGCCTAACTTTGTACAAACTTGTGCGAATGACAAAGGACGCATAATACATTTATAAAACTTGTGTGAAAGTAGGAAATTTGTACACGATTAGGCTGGTAGTTAAAATATTAAAAATGTACAAAAAGTACAATGTTTTTACTATAGCAAGTGAGAGGTATTAACCTGTATGACCCATGTTGAACCCACTTGTGGAATAAATTATTTAAAATACTGATAGTCACGTGAGTTCTACCCAGGTAAACATTCCTCAAAGGTGCTCACTGTAAAACATCGGCAGGTTTTTTTTTTATCATTTAGTCAAAGTCGCGCCGCTTAGAAATATTTCTATGTATCTATATTTAAGATTACGGTAGGGTAAAGAGAGGTTAGCGCCACTCATAAAAGTGTCAGACATTTTTAACATTTATGCAAGACAATGAAACAGGTATTGAAAGCCACCTAAACACTCCTTTTAGATTTCAAATTCATTTTATTGTATATATTTTTTCAACTGCAAGAGTACCGATTTCTTAGTTTGATTATTATGGCTACAGGCAACTACACAACTTCTTTCAATTTTTTAAAACAGATATAGCACAAAAAAGTTACATTCCACAAACGCGCCCGACTATGATCCACCATCAGATTGTTCAAGATCTCTTCGCCTTGATTTACATAAACGAAACTAAAAGAAGGTTCGGTTTGACTTTTCCGGATTTTTAGGGTGTCCATATAGGCATTTAAAAATAGTCAATTGTTTCAAATCCATGCTGATTTTGGTGATGATTATCGTGCTTTTTAATTAGAAATATACACTAGTATATAACTATTTCCCAAAGAGAACGATTTGGTTATACATTCTAAAGTAAAATGGCACATAAAAAGGGCCCATTAAGCATTGCTTAAGTGCACTTGTCCTTTTTATCCAACAAGACACAACAAAGATTTTTTTTGATCGATTGATCAAGAAGTTCGGCTGTTACAGACAACTATGGGTATTGTTTTTACAAAGTTACGGAGAAGTTGCACATAGAAATTCGACCGATTTATGTTGTGTGAGGAATATGTTCACTAAAATCTCCCAATGCCTAAATAAATGCCTTTTGTTTTATTTTAATAAAAATTGCAATTGAATAAAAAAGTCCCCCATTTGGTTAGTAAATTTCTTCACCGATATGGTAGATTGTCTACCAAAAGGGGTATAAAGACCATTTGGTAGGTTGCGCCCAACCTGGTAAAAGAATTCATTTGTGCATAATTGCTTGCCATCTGTTTGTGTTGACAAATTCATTAAAAAACGTCCCAAAGGTGAAAGTTTTGGGAATGAAATATATGGAGATAACGAACAGAATTTAAGCTCAAGAACCCATAAAACAATGCAAAATAGGAGCAGAGCAAACATAGGCCTTCAAAACATCAGAGGTGGGATCAGGTGCCATTGCGGAGTGAGCATTCCCTACTAACCAGTCACACTCACAGTATGTGCCCTCTGTCATAATTGGAAATAACGGAAAAATCTGTCGACAATTCAGTGTGTAAATGATGGCATAATAAATATTATGAAATACATTAGTCAGCATTTGACTCAATGATAAATTGTACTTGCTGACAAGGTCATTGTATCAACACATGAAATTTTAACTTTAAACAAGACTTGCTGAAATTCTTGTTTCATCAACTTGTTGTTACCTCTGTTTAGACATATGTGGAGCATGTATAGAAAGACTTGTGTCGGCAAGATGCATAAATAGGTGTCGTGGTTAAAAACTATACCTAATGTGTACTTATGTACTTAAAGATGACTTATGTTGTGTGCATAATAACCTTTACAGTTTGTTTTAATGAAAATGCTGTAAATGTCCATTAATTAATGAAAGTGTTTATGATTTTTCAACAAACAAACTTGGTAAACATCAAGATTGAAATACTGAGTTGTCGCAATTACCGTAATGTAATGCAATCACAAAATGGATATGATCTTTTATGTGCATCAAACTTGGACTGAATGTACCGGTATTTATTTAGCCTATTGGGGATGAATGATCAGATAAGAGTTCATTGTTTAATTACTACAAGTTGTGTTGCCATTTTTGACACATTTAATAATTACGTACAGAATAACAAGGGTGAAATATGTTTTCCTAACAATTTATTGTCTGCATTCAATGTGAAGTTATGTGTTTTATTACCAATTTAATAATTATTTATTGATGAAAAGTAAGAAAATAAGGAGGAAATAATGAAAAAAAGAATGCAAAAAGATGAAAAAAATTTATTAGTAATAAAGAGTTTTTATTTTTAACATAGGAATGAATAATCTTAAAATGTGAATAAATAATATATTTTATGTACCAAATTGTATTTAACTAGTGCTAATTGTAACGGGGACCGTTACAGATGTTCCCCAAACACTCCCCAACTCCCTTTTGGTGCCATATTCCCTGTAAGCTTCATTAAATAAGAAAAACTCTATGAATTTGAGATTTTAACAACGTTTTCCCAGAAGTGTACCGAGTTCATTCAAACTTTAGAATTGCACACGTACGCATGTGAATGCCTGTGCGTAATGACCCTGTAACCTTTTCTACACAATATATATATTTTGATACACTAAATATTAAAGTATTTAATCCAAAATTATTATAAAATATGCTCATTCAAGTGTATTTTTGATTTTACTCATTTCACATGCACGCACGTGCATACATGAGCATGGTGACCATATTCTTCTTGTAGAAGTCCATTACATCTATCTATGTTCTAAATCCCACCCGGTTTGGTTGAAAAGCAAGGGAGTTATAGCTGTTTAAAGTTTAAGCCAATCAGATTGCAGCGCACGTGCATGCACGTGGTTTCATGTTAATTGCTATATATCATGTAATAGGATATCCTAATGCATGGCTATGTTCAAAATTTCAAAGGATTTCGTCTAAAAACAAGAAAGATATTGAGACTTTAATTGCAGCCAATCAGAGCGAAGCGCACGTGCATGCGCGTGAAATCTTGCTATTTTGACCATGTCATCATGTCTATACTACAAATATATCCTCACAGTATGAATTTCAAAGCATTTCATCTAAAAATAGAACAGTTGTGGCTTTATCTATTATATTGGTCATTTCACGTGTTGCACGTGCACGCTCTTGCAAGCACGTGCGCGCAAAATGACCTTGATTCCGCAAATCTACATGACATGTCTACTGACCCTAAAAAGGTTTTACCTACATCGGACGAATAGTTTACAAGATCATTCCCGGACAAAAAAGTTCCAGGAAGAAGAAGAAGAAAAATAATAATAACTAGAAACGATCTCGTTGCGAGCAACGAGAGGTCTTCCGTCCGATTCAGGAAAAAAATCTCGTAAAATCGAGCTGATAAGTGATTCAAAATTTTGGTCGCAAAGGGGATTGAACCCATGTCGCCTTTTTCTGTTTTATCCCCAACGCGCAAACCATTCAGCTTTTGGGAGTACTGCTCTAAATATACTTGTGTGTATACTTTTGCAACCGTACACCTGTCTAAGAATCATAAAAGGCGGGTCACTATTAATAATTTGCGCCAAACGCCACGAGTAAATATTCGCGTATTTTCTTTGGACTAATCTATTAAATAGGTGTGATAGTTTCAATGAAATAAAATAAATAAAACGTTCTTATCGCCTTTATTTTATTTCAACGTTTAAAAAGTCATTGTAAACATTACATATATCGTATCTAGCCCAGTTACACTAAAGTAGTGAAATGGTAATTAAGTGTTAAGATTGACACTGAATTGCAACGTACTCCTACGTGAAAGTTCAAGTAAATCTTTTACATTTCATGCATTCTTATGTCGGAATAGTTCAATCAAACGCTCAGCTGCCTCCATAAACCCCAATTGCGAAATTGCAAAATGGCGGAATTGACAAAGACAGCCGCCATCTTGGGCCCGCTTCAGATTTTCAAATATTAATATCTAGAATTCAGATAAGCCAATTTTCAAACGA